TTTAATACAATGTCATTGTTTTTCTTAGTGGCCAACGGCTCTGTCTATGAAAAACAAAGCTCTTGCCTCCTATTTAGTATTTTGGGATGCATTAGTGATACAATATTAATGTAGTGAGGAGGTTGTTATTTTTAGACCTGGTTAAATTAGGAATAGAAGAGGGCAGTCATACAGGCAAAATTTAGTAAAAATATATGTGGGACTAAAATGTAAATAGTTGGCCTAATTTGAAGAGTTGACTATGAATCCGCACTTGAATGTTTTCACTTGAAATGTACAAGATAATTGGTCAAAATATATATTTTTACAGAACATCCTCTTTTCACTACTAGTTTAACATTTGTGAGAGAAAATAAAATTGCCTCTGAGTCTTTGAATAAAGAGGTAAGTGTAACAACTACTCCTGATTTGGTTGGGGCCAAAATTCCACTTAGGCTCCACCAAATGTTTAAAGGAAATGCCTCCTTCATTAGATACAGTAGCCCAAAAAGTTTGTGGCTAATTAGAATATGTAGAATCTATCACAACCCCTATAAGTGCTTGCAAAGAGCAAAACACATTTAAAAACAGATTTAAAAATCTCCTTCCTTAAGGGTCTATTTCGACTTACAAAATATAAAGATAGGCAAGGATAAAGCTCTGTGCCATTAAAACATACAGAAAATGGGTTCTGTGATAACACAATAGTAATTCTGGGCCTATTCCAAATTATCAAAACCTATCACAATTCACATTTGTGACTTATCAACCAATCTGAAGTGCAATTTAGGAGGAAAGAAAGTAAACTAGAATTAAAAATAATTCAGGAATTCTGCCTGGCTTAGATGAAGATCCAGAGTTGGAGTCATGATACTTTCTGTGAAACTTAACCTGAATAAATGTTAAATATAACTTGACACCTAAGCTTGTCCTCAACATGGGAAAAAATTGGAGTTATTCCTCATTCATGGTGAAATCTACATGGAATGGCATGAGCCACATTTTCCCTTGACTGAGGAGAAAACTGGGTGGGAACTAGGAGGAAGAAACATAAGCAAGCAAGGAATGTTGGCAGGTGGGCCCAGTGGTGTTGAGGGGTGAAGGAAATGCACACAAAATCAAGGCTCCTATAACTCTGGAGGTGGAAGGTGCTTCTGAGATCACTTGTCCGTGGACTTCTGCTGAGTGCAGGGAGGTCTGCAGGGCTGAAGATCTTCTTCTTTTTTCTTTTATTTTTTATTGTTCTGTTAATCACCATACATTACATCATTAGTTTTTGATGTAGGGTTCCATAATTCATTGTTTGCGTATAACACCCAGTGCTCCATGCAGAATGTGCCCTCTTTAATACCCATCACCAGGCTAACCCATCCTCCCACTCTCCTCCCCTCTAGAACCCTGTTTGTTTTTCAGAGTCCATCGTCTCCCATGGTTCGTCTCCCCCTCCAATTTCCCCCCCTTCATTCTTCCCCTCCCGCTATCTTTTTTTTTCTTAACATATATTGCATTATTTGTTTCAGAGGTACAGATCTGTGATTCAACAGTCTTACACAATTCACAGTGCTCATCATAGCACATACCCTCCCCAATGTCTATCACCCAGTCACCCTGTCCCTCCCACACCCCACCACTCCAGCAACGCTCAGTTTGTTTCCTGAGATTAAGAATTCTTCATATCAGTGAGGTCATATGATACATGTCTTTCTCTGATTGACTTATTTTGCTCAGCATAACACCCTCCAGTTCCATCCACGTCCTTGCAAATGGCAAGATCTCATTCCTTTTGATGGCTGCATAATATTCCATTGTATATATATACCACCTCTTCTTTATCCATTCATCTGTCGATGGACATCTTGGCTCTTTCCACAGTTTGGCTATTGTGGACATTGCTGCTATAAACATCGGGGTGCACATACCCCTTCGGATCCCTACATTTGTATCTTTGTGGTAAATACCCAGTAGTGCAATTGCTGGACCGTATGGTAGCTCTATTTTCAACTGTTTGAGGAACCTCCATACTGTTTTCCAGAGTGGCTGCACCAGCTTGCATTCCCACCAACAGTGTAGGAGGGTTCCCCTTTCTCCGCACCCCCGCCAACATCTGTCGTTTCCTGACTTGTTAATTTTAGTCATTCTGACTGGTGTGAGGTGGTAGTTCATTGAGGTTTTGATTTGGATTTCCCTGATGCCGAGCGATGTTGAGCACTTTTTCATGTGTCTGTTGGCCATTTGGATGTCTTCTTTGGAAAAATGTCTGTTCATGTCAGGGCTGAAGATCTTCCTTAGAGACAGATGCAGGGAATAAAAGGTAGCCTAATGGGTGGGGCTCTGGGTACCCCACACCCTCCACAACCAGCGAGGGGTCTACCTAATTATTATATTTGGGTCCTACATAAGATTTTGTATGAAAAAAGCTTCTACTGTATGGCATAACAATATTTAAAAATCGTTGTTGGGTCCCCTTTTATACTCATTCCAGTAGCATTATTGCAGAAATAGGAGAATAAATAGCTAAGGATGGATGCTCAAGATTAGTCTCATGTACACACACATTTTTTTTCAACAAATATTTACAAAGAACCTACTAAGTAGCAGCTAAAGTCCTTCCTCAATTTTCCAGGCTGGCTAGAATGACCCACGTGACAACCTGAAAACGGATGCCATTTTACCTTTCAGTTGGAGGGAAATGATTTGATAAGTTTGTGCATAACAACTTTGTAACATGCTCAGCATGTATTCCAAACAGAATTATCAAGAAATGACAAGCTTCCTGTTTCCATCCACATATCACAGACCTAGATTTGGGCATCTGAATGATGAGAAATGTTAGCCATTTGTAATTTTAGTTCAAAAGATATTTGCTGCGTGCCAAAAATTGGTGGGGGAATAATTACAAGGAAGGACAAATGCTGGAGCAGAGGGCACCATGGCTTGGGCCCTAAGTAACCAGAGGGAAAGTAAACCTACTGCTTGGAACTCTGTCCCTTGCTTGTTAGAAAGAGGGTAGTGATGTCTGCAAGGGAAGCTATAGCCAGGCCCTGCATGGAAGCAGAGGGGGCTCTGGGGCTTATAGTATGAAAAGGACCATGGACTGATGTGCTCCAGAACATTCTGGTGTGTTCCAGCATTCTGCGGCTTGTATCCTCATGGCAAGACTTCAGGGCACAGCTGAGGTTCTGAAGCCCCCTGTTTTAATTCCTGGCTTCTGGGCAGTCTTTTCTATGGAATGCTGACCAAGAGAAGAATATTCTCTTTACCTCCCTCTGAAGTAAACTCCTGTTTACTCAGGATGTTGGAAGTAGGGTGACCTACTCGTCCAGGTTTACCCAGGACTTTCTGGCTCATCCCAGGCAAACTGGGATGACCAGTCATCCTAAGGAAGTAAGAGTCAAGTGAATAGATGGGGTATTTCAGTAATAAACCATTTCAAAAGTGAGTGGCTTAAAACCACTCTCCTTTTGTTTACTCACCGCTGTGCCCTCTGCAGGGATCAGCTGGGCGGTTCTTCTGGTGTTACTGATGATTGTTTGCGTGGCTGCATTTAAGCAGCGGGTCAGCGGGAGGCTAGGGTTTCCCGTTTCCACGTGGCCTCTCCAAGGGGCTTTTCACATCATGGTAGCTGAACATTCTACAGGGTGGCACAGGGCTCCCGAGAGAGCCACGCCTGCTTGGGTTCTCAAGGCTTAGGCTGCAACTGGCACAGTGTCCTTCCACTGTATCTTATTGCAAAAACCAGTCACAGTGCCGCTGTAGTATCAAGGTGAGGGGACTTCGAAGGGAGGAGTATCAAGGGTGGTTCATGGGGGTGGGGGCTACACATGGGACAGTCTACTCCACAGGTTTAGTGGGATGCTCATTTGGACTCACAGGATTCAGGTGCCTGCTTCACCTCTGACCTGCTTGCTAGGCGACCTGCCTTACACCTTCACACTCTCAGAGAGTACAGAGTATGGATAGTTTCGCTATTGGCCAGGGTCTTCAAGAGCTCTGGGTGAGGTACACGACAAAGGTATCCCTATTATTCTTACTTCTGATCAGCGTACTGAGGAGGTGAATCCCTGTTAAGGTTGCCAGAAGGTTTGCACGAAGCAACAGGCTAAGAGGCCCAGGTCTTACAATGTTGAAGTGAGGTGGTAAAGGACCTGATTCTGCCAGGCAACACTTCTGGGTAAGTAAGTGTCCATGCTAGAGTATGGGCTCCGGGCAGGAATTACACAGATCACCAAAGCACAGCACCTTGCTTAAAGGGACTGACCCTTCTCAACATACAACCTCCCTATCTCGGACCCCAAATCTCGTCTTAAAGTTTGAACCATTGTGCGCCTTGGTCCCTCACTACTGCAGCTCTAACCCCTGAACTGACTTGGTTTCCCAGCCCCCTTTCCTCCGTTCGTGTGAGCCTCCCAAAGGCAGGGCCGAGGCTGGCTTTCTGGAACACACAGATGGGGAGGGGTGCACTCTCTGGACGAGCCCATCCACCCCCCTCCACGTCAGAGCACCTCCAATGCTGGCTTCCCCACCACTCCGCCCCCCCGCCGCGCCTCTTTTTCTTTCTTTCTTTCTTTCTTTTTTTTTTTTTGCCGGAAAGAATGGGGCCCCTCCTAGCCTCCCCCAACTCAAACTCTGCCTTGAAAGAACCGCGGAGCTGCCTCAGGGCCCTGGGACTGCTGCTTGGCGTCGTCCCCTTTCTCCTCCCGACCTCCTCTTCCACCACTGTGCGCCCTCCCTGGGTATTCTGACTTCGGGCTCCTTCCCTCTCTTTTTCTCGCCGCCCAGCCCCGTATAGCCGCCAGGCCCGGAGCGCCCCGCCTCCGCGCTGTCGCTTTAAGCCGGTCCCCGCGCTGCGCCCCTCCCTCACCCCTCCTGGCGCTCCTCCGCTGCTCCTCGCCTCCCCTCCCGCTCCTCCTCTCCCGCTCCTCCTCCTCCACCACCTCCTCCTCCTCCTCTTCTCTCGCTAGTCCTCGCCGCAGCCGGCCCGCCGCCCGCTCCGCTCCTCGCAGCCTCCCGGACCCGAAGCCATGGCCGACATCAAGACGGGCATTTTCGCCAAGAACGTGCAGAAGCGACTCAACCGCGCGCAGGAAAAGGTCAGAGCGGGCGGCGGGGCAGGTTGCGGGGGCGCGGCGGCGAGGGCCGAGAGGGCTGGGGGAGCGGCGGAGGCCTGCCCGGCGCCGCGGCGGCTACAGCGAGGCGGCCGCGGGCTGGGAGGCGGGAGCGCTGGGGCGCGCGGTCCGCCCGAGTCTCCCCGCGCGCTCGCCCCCCGCACGGCCGGCCTCTCTCTCCGCTCTCCCCGCTCTCCCGGGCGGCGGCGGGCGCGAGCTTCGGCAGGTGCGGCGGCTCGCCGGCTGCCTGCCCCGGTGCCCCGCGCATCTCCCTGCCCGCAGCCCCCGCTCCCCGCCGGCCCGCAGGTCCTGGAGATTGCGGCAGCGGTCCTCTCTCCGGGGGGTTTCCCGAGGACCCGAGTGCAGCAGAAACGGCGGGGGTAGCGCAGAAGCTACTCTCAAAATTTGTAGGGATCGATAGGGCTCATCACGGAAAACCAATGGCTTTTAATACAGTGCTGTCGAGTGAATCCTGGAGTTCAAAATAGAGATCTAGATACACACTTTTCCTTTTTCTGTTTTTTTTTTTCTGTTTTTTTTTTTTTGGGT